TCCAGAAAAAAAGCCCCTCCTATTACAGTTAAGCACTGCCGGTAACAGCCACACAAGAATTTTAGGATTATCAACAAAGCAATGTATGACATTCCCTCTCACAGACCCTGGGAGTATCTCACATGTCAATGGCCACTGAAGAGTAATGTGTGATCTGGGAAACAGTTCCCTAGTGATCCCTGATTTATCCCCTGGCACTCCCGTGTGTGCTCTTCTAAGTCAGAGAAGTTTAGGACGATCAGGATCAAATGAGCGTGGAGCAAGAAGCCCGAGTTCCAGGTTGTTCCTGACTCTGCTGGGATTTGAGTCACGCAGATTCACACTCAAGAGAATCTACTTTTCCAGTCTCCGGTTCTTCACTGATACCATAGTCTGGGGAGCAACTTGGAGGTGCTGGTGACTATGTGTTACTTGTCTTAAAACTCACTCACTTCAAATATTAAAATGCTGTGAGACTGAAAAGCCCTTAGAGGAGGAAAAGCATCTTTCTACTCATTGTTGTATGAATCTGACAGAAATACACACACGTACCACATTATACTGCAGGATAGAGGAAAAGCAACTATGGAAACCCAGCTGGCTGCACGACAAAGAAAGAGCAGATATGGATTTTCACCCCATTGTTGCAAGGTCCCCGAAGGCACCACATGAAAACAGGTATGTGCCTGCATCCTGTAAACCAAGCATGTTTTAATGCTCCCATGGTTGTAGTTTACACAAAACGTTCTGTGTCCTTTGGTTTTGCTCTTAATTGCGTTTATAAATTTATAATCATTCCTCATGCCTTCCTTTGTTTAGAAGCCTGCTTACTTCTATGTCATATATACTTTAAACCAAGAACATTTTCTTCATTGTAGTACTTCGTTAATTTTTTAAAAGCCTTATGCAAAGCCTAGGATTGTAGAACATGGCTGATTGTGTTGATGATTTATTATTTGTATGAAACGAGGTTTCCTTTGAAGGCTCTGTGAATCTGAACCTCCTACAAGTTCTGAAATGCTGAAAGAGCCTGCAGTGGGATGTGGGGCACATCATGACAGGGATGGGCAGTGTCTCACGCCATTACAGCACCTGAACTCCAGGGAGAGATTTGGGTGCAGTGTCTAACTTATCTGTTCCAGCTGTCTTCCTGAAGCTACCTAAGGCTTGCTGTGTTCTGACCCTAATTCTCCCCAGCTACTCCCTCCTCCTCCTCACTATGTTTCCAATGCCCACTGAAGCATCATTAAAAGTTGGGGCAGATCCTGGGAGGCCAGAAAGTTTTTTTTATCTGTATTTTACATTTAATTCTACTTCAGCTTCTAAGAATTGAGCGGGACAGCTATTCTCACCCAACTTTCTTTAGCCTTTAAAAGAAATCACGCAGTTGGAATTTCCTATAAATGAGACACCTGCTTATTGTAGTTTAAACCTATTCTGTTTACTGACCTGAGAGAAAGACCCAGAGAGCTTGCCATGTCATCCTGACCTTTTTACATCTGTTGGTTCTATTTATTATAACAAATCTCTCTGTATTGCGCAAACCTGGATTCAACAGGAGCCAAATTATGTCTCCAAATAAAACATAAAAAAGAGAGAAATGGTTACACCAAGTGTCAAAGTTGCAGGTAGGAAGGCTCACCCAACCCCTGCAGGGTGGGAAGCACCATCTTAGAATAGACCAAGTGTGCTCTAGGGTAGCACGAAGGATCACGGAGGGGTCCTTGGGCCCCCGTGTTCCTCCGCGGAAACTCCCAATCCTCACCTCATGCTCCAGGGCGCTCAATGAACCCTAGAAGCTGCCTCCCTCGAGGCCGGGCTCTTTCTTTCCCTTCAAGATGTGCTTCCCTTAAACAACACTCGCTCCTAAGCTGACCCTAAAACACGAGGCCAGACGCTGGGTTAGTGAACCCTGGGGATATAATGGCTTTCTATGTCACTGGAAGCCTGCAGCCCAGACATCAAATGGCTGGCTTACTTCTCCTCCAAAAACCTAGGTATCAGAGATACTATTTAAAATAAGTTGACAGGGACTCTTTATTCAGAACAACAACAACAACAACAAAATGCTGGAGAATGTCAGCCTCATGGGACTTGACAACCAAGCGAGGAGTCCCTGCGACTGATTCGGTTTCTGCTGACACTTGAGGGACAATGTCGTCTGATGAAGCATTTCCGCCAGCTACTACCGTAAGTCTCCATCCTGCTTCCTAGTCTCCCTCACCCCATTCTACCCAGACCATTTACAAAGGACTGGAATACTTCTTATCCCAATTTATCTATCTATCTATCTATCTATCTATCTATCTATCTATCTATCTATCTATCTATCTATCTATCTATCTATCTTCTGTTTTTCCCAAACCGTATTTTAAATGAATGAGAGACACAGATAATGGCAAAGCCATGGGAGCAGGTCAAGGGCTTAGAACTAGCTGGCTAGCAATTCACCATCAGTGATGCTACTTAGAAAAGAGTCTCTAGTTGGCCAAAGTTTCTAGCTTCCTCATTTGGAACTTCTATAAAACACAAAGGAATTCCTGCTTAGGAATGAATTTCAACTAAAGGGGAAGAACATACATCTAACAGGTACAGCTCAATTATTTTCAAATACTGCTCCCAAGTGATGTTGGTGTTTTATTAGCACTCATAGAAATAATACACTCCATTTACATTAATACTTATGCAAACCACGAGTAATCTAATCAATGTGTTCACAAATATATAGATTCTGAGTGACTGTCAGGGAAAACAGGCACTCCCAAATGCAAACATTTTCCTTACTGCTGACACAAATCTGAAGAGTTTCTCGGTGACAGCTACAGGCTGAGAGACTACAAATACCGTGACAGGGGCATGCGGTCCTCTAACAGGGAAAGCTGAGACTGTGGGATGAAAGACCACCTCACACACACCTTAGAGATGCTGCATTGTGATTTCTGTTTTCATCTCTCCGCTCCCATCCCCCAGGGTTTCTCCTGAACCTCAGCTTTCTCTCTTTGTTTAGATCACTGGCATCCTTGACTCTAGATTGTTCCAATAGCTCACCAGGCAAACCATGGCCTGGGAGTCTCTCTGCTTCACGTAAGTCCTTGGTGAGTGCAAGCATTCACATGTTGGAAGAAAAACCCTGAAATGGTAGAATTTATTTCAACAGTCTTCACTGGGCACCCTATAGGCCCAAGAGAGGCTATGATTATAACCTGGTCTGTCTCATTTGCATCTTCTATGTCCACACTGCTTTGTCCTTGATTCGGTCCCCTCTACCCTTTGACTCTTTCCACTTCACGTTCTACTCATTACTTTACTACCACCCTGAGAGCAAACACAATTCCCAAGTGTTACCGGGCTTAAGCAAAACACTGAGCACACTGGGTTGCAATGCTCGAATATTTATGGAGCCCACTGGCTCTTTGATTAGCTCACACCACAAAATAAACCGAGGGAATAGGGTGACACTAACCTCGATTATTTTATCCTTTTACTTGGAAGTTCTGCTGGAGGTAAAGACCACAATTCAGGTAATAAAACCTTTGGCAGAGTATTGCCTCATAAAGGCAACAATATTCTTTGGGAAATGAAAGGTGGCAGGAAGTCAGGGGATGATGGATTCTGCTCTCCCAAACACAGGGCAACTGCTAGCAGACAGCCATCTTGACGTTGGCCTCACCATGAGCCGTGATGCCGACTGTGAAACTGCACATGTCGAAATAGGGTTTGGCATCTACACTAATAACTGCTTTAGACACAAGTTAAATATTAGGTTTTATATTCATCTATACAGGGGTTTTGTTCTTTACAAGGTTATAAGTGCTATGTAAAAATCCAGTATTTATCACATTTTCTTGATAAGATCATTTGGTGACCCTATCATATAAAGCACAAAGAATTATTATTAACACCAAATTTGGTAGCTTAATTCTAGGCTTCCATGCTTTCGGAGCCAGCATCTACGGGACATAGTTTTCTTATGTGAAGAGGCGTTCTGAGCTCTCCTCTTACAATAATGGATTTGCTCATTTCCAATGGCCCCGGGTAGTCATTGGTAAGCATTCTTCAGCTTCCTCCTCAAGTGCTACAGGGATTTTGATGATCAGGAGAGAACCTGAAGTGTGTATTTCCCACAACACCGAAGTCTCTAATGCCGGAATCAAACATAAAGAAAGGGACACATCCTCTTAGTGTCCTTTAGCAGACTCTCTTCCACAGCTAGCCACTAAAACAGGATGATAAATCCATTATGGGTCCCAGGGGCAGCTGGGAGAGGGGAACCTATCAACATCCAATTTCATGGTAGCCACACTGAGAAAGACAGAGAACTCTATTTCCCAATGAAAGAACTCACCCAGATATTGCAGGTTCTGTATTAAAGAATTTTCAACAGCATATTTCTAATTATATATTAAGACCTTTCTGTTAAGCAACTCATGACATTGTAAATAATTCCTTTAAATTATTTGGATCGATTTGTAATTCAGAGGAGAGCTTCACAGTGGTGTGATGAAGTCAGAATCTGTTACTTCTAAGCAGTTTCATACCCACTAATGCCATTTTCTCTGTAAATGTCACCCCCAACTCTTCACTGAGATTAGATTTTAAAAAAATCTATTATGAACAATCTTAAGAATTTCTTATCAAAAAAAAAAAAGCCTGTAACACAAACCAAACACAGAAGGAACAGAAAGAGGCAATACCACTGTTTTATATCCATTACTTGATTTTTGTCTGAACATGTGACCAGCAGCAGTCTTTGGTTATTTCGATCCATATATACTTATATACACACACATATATTTAAAGGCATATATTCTACAACATGGAATGGCGACATATCAAATGCTTACATTCTGTGCGAACACATATCCCTTCTTGTGAAGGAAACATATCATATTACAGAAATAAATCATGGAGAGTAACATGCAACATCCAAGGGCGGAGGGAGGAGGAAAATGGGGTTGGGGAGGGTGGGAGGGGCGGGAGGAGGAACACAACAATGCCAAAGAACAAAAAGTGTCATTGACCTGATTTGTCAGAGCTGTCGCCTGTGATTGGCCTGACGGAGCAGCTGGGATTAGCCTTTGCGCTGTCCTTGGAAGAAACCATTTTGGGTTTATTTTTCGTTGCCTCTAGTGCTTTGACCTTCTTGGCATGTTTACTTCCTTTGTAGTGGGCCTCGGCCTGGCTCTACAAAGGAGAACAAATCAGGCTCATTTTTTTGCTACTTACAAACACCACGATGGATGAGCATGCAGGAAAAAATACAGTCAAAAAATACAGTCTTAGGCGCCACAGACATTTACGAGTCAGTGTTGACTACATCTCTGGCATTTATCTACGAGGTTTCAACATCGCAAACCTTGCTCCGTAACAGAGGCCTCGAGTCTTTGAGAACCTAGAAGTTCCGTGAGTGGACCACAGGATCAGGACAGGAGATGGGTCAGCAGGGCCCTCCCACCCCTGCTCATGCCAAGGGGATTGCTTTCTCAAGATCTGGCTGGCAGCATTTGCATCGAGTACCCTGTGCACACCCGCAGACATGGACTTCCACAATGACCGTGCCTTAGCCTGTCTGCTCTGTGCCTGGTTCCTGGGGGGGAGGGGGGGGTCCCTGCTCTGAGATCAACCAGAGCGACAGAGCAGCAGTAAACAGATGCTGCTGAATGGAGATGGCACCACATTTCCGAGACATCTACGTGCGCTTAGCATGCCATCTTGGATGGTTCCAGTGCCAATTATAGCTCATGCCACAAGGGAGGTAAGGACGATCCTTGATCTCAGATGTGATTGATTCTCACTTCAAAGCTCTCGTACATAAAACATATGTAACACTGTGACTGCAATACTAGATCAAAGGAAGGAGAAAGGGAGACAAGAGACAACACCAAATTACAATAAACCTAGAAGACAGTTAGTTAATTTACCGACATTTGGGAAGTTACCTTCCATCTAAACAAGGTCATCTGGCATCCTGTTTACTGTACACATGGGAAAAAAAAGATAACTATAACTAAATTCATTTGAATTTCATTCTGCAGACTGGAAAATAAAAACATGCGTATAGTAAAAAGAAGACAAGACATAGTGAGTGTAATGGCTTAGTTATAAAGTGACATTCAGGAGAAATTTTATGTATACAAGATGGGGCTTTATTAGAAGATTTTTGAGCTGATAGTTTCTCTTAAAACAGTTCCCATTAGAACCCATGTGTGTGTCAAGATGATCAAGGTGAGCAAAACTTCATAGGTCCATGAAGAAACAGATGGAATGCAGACCACTCATGAGGAAGTGGATGAACATAGCAAAGCATGCTACAGGGGATGCAGAAGCGAACCAAAGGGACCAGCGAGGAGGAGTCTTGATCGAGACTTTCTAAAACAGGCGGCTTTGGGTTGAAGATTTGAAGGAAGAGTTACACAGGAATTGGTAGAGGAAAGTGCATCGGTGGGAGAATTTTAGCCAGGGGAGCACTGGTGCTGGAGAGCCAGAGGTGTGGATATGGCTGGAGGGGCGGTCCCACGGGCCACTTGGTAGACTAGCTACACTGGGAGGCCCATGAGAGCCAGGTGTGCTGCCTTGTGGAGCAGGGTATCACAGAGATGAAATTCCCCAGCAGATGCAAGATGCTATCGATCTCAAGGGAGGAGGATTTCTGCACCAGCTATTTATTATATTTATTGACAGCGTATGAGCAAAGGGCAATAAGCAAGGACGCATGGAGAATATGGGCTTATCTGGGGGAGTAGACTCATGAGTGAGAGGTATGGCTATAACAAAAATGTTCTGATCATGAGGATAGCCCAAGCTCCTGGAAACGCTAGTCCTTATCAGTCCTGTACTCAGTTGCTTAAGTGGAGCCAACCAGTTTCCTGGTCATGACTCCATGTAGAGTGTTCTTCCAAGATGCCACACTTGCCTAAGCCACCTCAAGCTGTGGAGTGTGTGTGTGTGTGTGTGTGTGTACAGAAATGTTTCCCTGACTTCCTGGCTTGTTTTGTTCAAATTCAAACGGAGCACACATAACGTCACTGCCTTCAGCGATTCGGTGCACTTGTTTCTGTGGAGCTAGAGATGGGGACATCGCTTCAACGTCCCTGTCACTTGTGTGTGTGGCACCATGAGGGAAAAGCCCAGTTGTGCTAAATGCGGAAATGATGAGATGGAGCTAGGCGTTCTTGCGGAGCGTGACAGCTGCCGAACATGAAGAAACCAGGCGACAAGCTGAACGTCCTATCTGCATGTTTGATGTCCCACTGAAGCGGGGACTCAGTGGTTTCCAGAGCTCTTTGGCATTGCTGTGTCCCCCCCCCCGCCCCCCGGCTCCCACGGGCTAAGAAATGAATGTGAATCATAGAATGCCTTGATAGAAGTGGAATCTAAGGAAGGATTTGTTTTGCTTTACGATAAAAACACAGCAGTGACTTCCTGTGCGTATGACCTTGGTCACCCAGGGCCTGTGCTGACTGCAGGACCGCTTTTCTCACCACACTCTACAGGTACGCTTTTAGCTCTCCGCTGACTTACCACTGCTTATGCTTAGCACGTTCAGAGGTTTCTCATAGTCTTTGCCAAAGTGAAAAATAAATTCCAGAGGAAAAGATAAGGCACTTTAGACTTTTATTTATTAGCCAAGAAAGGCAAAATCAAGTGTAGTTGGGTAGTTTTAGCCAGTTTCAGCTGCCAACTTGACACAGCTCAGAGTTATCTTCTGAGGGAGTCTCAACTGGGGGATTGCCTTGATCAGATAGGTCTGTAAGCATATCTATGGAGCATTCGCTTGACTGACCATTGACGTAGGGGATCCAGTCCATTGTGGGCAATACCATCCCTAGGCAGGAGGGAGGAGCTCTAGTCTGTATAGTAAAGACAGCTGGGCAGAAGGTCCAGAGGGAGCCAGCAAACAGAGTTCCTGACTGGTTCGTGCTTTAGAGCCTGCCCTGACCTCCCTCAATCTTGGATTAGGACTCAAGAGTGCAATCTGAAAGACTTCCTTTTGTTCCCTCTAAGTTGCTCTCGGTCACAGTGTTCATCACAGCCACGGAAGGCACGCTAAAACAACAGCTACGAACTAGGAGAATAAAGGAACATAAAAACCGGATAATGGAAGTAACAGTGACAACTCATGTTTCTGAGCACTGTTCCGGGGTGTGCGCACACTGCACGGAGTAGCTCACGTGATCCTCATGGGAGCCTGTGCGAGGCTGCATTATCAGTCAGTGCCTGGCAAACAAGAAACTATATATACCAGAGGCAGATAACTCACCAACAGTCCCAGAGGGTTTTGAGGAAGGCGAAGTGCTTAGATGTATATCTCCATTTAATTATATACCCATACATATCTCTGTATGCCTACACTGTATCTACATTATAATTTTGTGAGCATTGAAGCGTTACAAGACAGTACACTGCTTTAAACAACACAGGCAGGGATGAGACCTTAACACCACTGCAATTCCCATGAATAGGAGTAGCTACCTAATTCTGGAGAAAGGTAACACATTCGGTCCAATCCTTTTAATAAATAGCTAAGAAAGCCCTGAAGTCCTACTTTTTAGTTATATTCGAATTTCTACAAGGCAGTAGGATAACTCCCCTCCCCCTTTAAATTTTTAGAGAGTCTCATGCAGCCAAAACTAATCTCCAACTCACTGCGCAGCTGAGGCCGGCCTTGAACTCCTGACTCCCCTGCCTCTACTTCCCAAGTGCTAGGATTACAGACACGTGGCACCAAGCAAGGTCTCAAGGATACTCTTTCAGGGCCTCATCTCTTCAAGTGGACTGAGTAGTTTAGGGTTATTTAGTGCCCTTTGGCTCAAGAACACGATTCTCTAAATATAACTTACAAGTACAAGATGAACAGAGTGTGATTTCCTCATTACTATTTCCTGGCACCAGGGCAGAAAGTTAACAGCGTCAGTTAGCACTCGAGATAAAGACCCAGGTAAGTGATACCTCGCTGCATGTCAAGAGAGAAAGGGCCCTCCACAATGTGACCCACTTTCCCTCTGAGTTTGGGGCATGGGGAAAGAGACTTTGAGGGTCCTCTGCTCCTCTGCTCTCACTGACTGGTGCTTGGGGCAAGTGAAGTGGCCGATTTCGCAACAGGGAGAGTGGCAAGCACCCCTCTGTCTTACTTGGCACACTTCGACTTCCCTCTGGCGTTCTTGGTTTGTGGCAATTTGCTATCCTCGGTGCTTTATCTGAGGCAGTGTCAACAGCTTCTGCCTCCCGGGCACATCTTCAAGTGAAAGCGAGACAGCGAGACACTGTTAAATAGCAAGGACACTGACCCTGCTTCATTAGCAAGGAGGCACCTGCCCTGAGGAGCGAAAGAGGCCAGGACGAGAGCCAGAAAACTCATGGCGCCAGGTGACACCACAATCAAACTCAGTCAACAATGGACTTGCTTGGCCAGGCTGACTGTCCTTGCAACCTGGTAACTGACGGGCAGGAGAGCTGCTGTAATTCCATGGGGCAGCGAGCCATGCTCGGGGGTGTGGCTTGGCACTGAGGCACAGGCTTTGTTGCCCAGGGTACTGGGTTTGAGCTTGAGCACTGGAAAAGGAGGAGAAGAAGGAAGTCCTAACGAAGACCTGGCACAGAAAGGGTTGCTGGAATCACCATCCTGACCTCCACCTAGGAACTGATGGGAATCTAGGCTCATATTTTAGGGGCCCCTTCTGTCGCTCCCAGAACCCCCACTGTCCACTGGTAATATAGCTTTCACGAGAAATGACACCCGCAGATGCCTCTTCTTCCAGCAATTCCCTTTGGTTCTAGGTCCCTTTGATTTCCCAAATCCTCAACATTTCTTAGAACCTCATTGGCCCAAATAAAAAGCGATGGTGAAGTAGACAAGATTTTAATTTAAAACTGTAAAGGTAACGAAGAGGTTCCCAGTGAGCCATTTTCAAATCTATTGTGCTCTCACCTCTGGGTTTCACCTGAGTTGAATTCCTGGCTCAGGGAGGGGCCTTCACATTGTGTTCAGTGTGGAAGGAAAGGAAAACTCGGGGAGTGCCCAATGCTTTTTACTTATAGAACTGATCGTTTTGTGGTTTAAAAAACTAAGTAAAACTGTTGCCTTGATTAAAGAAAATATCTAAACTGAACTAGAGCATCGCTTTCTCCGCTACCTTAGAAGTCCATGTGTTCAGCAATGTCACGCAGGAGGCAGCAATGGCTAG